ACACTCTAATGACAGAATAAAACAGTAAAATATCTTCCCCACATGTCCAGACACGAACATGTTTTAGCCACTTAATGACTTTTGTGCTTTTTCATATAATTATGCATGACCGCTGGGACAAGGAGCCGGCCGGAGCTAATCTTCAGAGATGAGCAGTGTCACGGTGATCGTTCAGCATTAAGCCAAGCCAACTTTATTTATATAGTGCCTTACAACAGTATAGAACTGACCAAAGTGCTTCACAGATGATGAAAACGTCAAAAGCTTGCATTCTCCGTCTCATTCAATGGTTGTTTAGAAAAGTGAGCTTGAATTTGTCCTTGTGAGCCTGCTGGAGAGCCCTCACAAAGATAGATAGTGGCGTCGCATGTCTTTGTACCGACACCGACACAAAAGCATAAACTAGACTTTACTCCTTCACTACCTTTACTACCCTAACCCTTCAGCTGTGAGAAGTCCAGGCGGCCGGTTTGGAGGAAAACTGTCATCTCACAGCTCGCTAGCTATTTCAAATGCAGATCTGGAAGCTTTATGCTAAACACCTTTAGCTTTGAGATGTTTATTTTTGGTTCCTCTGCACAAAAATATGTTAGATAATATAAAGCAGTAAGACCTAAATCCCTAGATTTTATTTTTAGCGTAAATCGCAGATACAGCCCTGGATAATGGCTGGAGGTTGGGTTCTTGCCCTCCAGCTAGTGTGGATGAGCACAGACCCAGATGTAAACAATAACTTTCAATAGGTTTATACCGCTATTGCCGTGATGCCCATAAAGAGCTACCCCTGAGCACCTTACCATCCCACAAAACTGTTAACTGCAGTTTCTGGTCAGCAGAGGGATGCAGAGTGCTGTTCAATGTGAAGTTGGTCAAGCTTCTTCCTACACAATCACCAAAACCCATTTTTGAGCTAATTGCTTAAAGTGTTACAAACTGTTTAGTGTTAGTTTTGTAACGTGATGAAGGAGCTATTCCTCCAAGGTTATTTAACCTCTCTCCACAGATGCCTCTGACACAGTGCTCGAGTGCATGAGACTGCCTCAAGGTCATGCATTTGCTTCTAAACTGTTTACTTTCCAGCAAGAGAAGAATGAAGATAAAAGACTCTTTTCTTTTAATAAATCAAAGAATTCTATTTTTAATAAAGCTAATCAAACAAAGTGTTAGTCAATAATACAATGTTGACCGATCCGTGAAATAACAATGTTATGATTAATATGCTTTAATAAGTAAATGCACTAGACACGCCGATGCACGTAATGTAAACGCAGGACACACTGCTGTTACTGATCCAATCAGAACCTTCCTTTCTGAAGCGTGGCAGAGTCTCTGTGGTGTTTAAACATCTGCCAGCTTTGATTGGACCAGAAATCAAAACATCCAGATTAATAAAACCAGTTCCAACACCATCTTAGTTCAGTTCTCAAGATCTCACTGGAGTTCACCGCATGCTAAGCGAAGTAACGGACCGGCCATCCGGACTTCCTTTTTAAGCTGAGAACCACCAAGCTGGATAAAATATGTTGCATTTAACCAACCAAGCAACGGTTCCTTTCAGAATAAAAGCTGAACTCACTGACCCAAGGAGGGTCCCTGTGAACCACCTGTCGCTTTTTACCTGGAGACGATCCAAAGACTAGTTTGTTGTACTGCTGATGCTGTTCCATCGGCTCTAGTACCAGAGGGGGGTCTGAGGACCTGGCGATCTGGATCTGTACGGAAGTCTCACTCTGAAGGGTATGTGTGGAGCGACAAGAATGGCGTCTCATGTGTTTATGAAACTCCGGTCAAACTCTGATCGTAGCTAGAAGCACAACATCACAACATCATTCAGACTTGCTTCTCCGGATACGAGAGTTCTGATAACAACACCACTCACACACACACACACACACACACACTATTCATCTCACCACTCATTCACATCAGATCCATCCATCATTAGAGTTAGAGTTAGTCTTGTTTAAAATTGTTTAGAAATAAATCATCTTAAATGTTTTAAAGGTCTGATTCTTCTCTCGTCTCTCAGTTAATACAAAGTGTTACACAATCCCTACAATAAAAAGTTCCAATCTTCTGGTTAAATAACTCAACGGTCCGTAAGTTTGATTTAATATCCACTATGGAATCTTAACGTCTCACTTTTTCCCTTGTATGGTGCGATCCATACTCAAAACCAGTTGTGACCAGTTTGGGGGTGAAACTTGATGCTGGACTTAAATTTGATGCTCACATCAACTCTGTGATCCGGTCCAGTTTCTTTCACCTGAGGCGCCTTGCTAAAATCAAGCCCATGCTGTCGATAGCCCACCTGGAGCGGGTACTCCATGCTTTTATTATTTCTCGGCTTGATTACTGCAGCTCTCTCTATGCAGGGTTGTGTCAGTCATCACTGCGTCGCCTACAGGTTGTGCAGAACAGCGCAGCCAGCTTCCTGACTGGGACCAGGAAACGGGACCACATCAGTCCGGTTCTGGCCTCCCTGCACTGGCTTCCGGTTTGCTATCATTCACACTTCAGACTCCTCGTCTTTGTTTATCATTTCTTCCAGGGTGGTGGTCCCCCTATCTAGCCACGCTCCTGGACAGACATTCCCCATCACGCGCTCTGTGCTCCTCTGACCGAGGCCTGCTCGCTGTCCCTCGTTCTAGGTGTCGTACTCGCGGGGACCGGGCTTTCTCAGTCCTAACACCGTTACTCTGGAACCAGTTGCCACCCTCAGTTAGGCTGTCCCCATCTCTGCCAGTCTTTAAGAATCACCTAAAAACACACCTCCTCCGCTTGGCATTCCCTGAATGTATTTGAGTTAGGCCGTCATTTATGTTGATTTTATCTCACAGTTTTCATTGGTTCACTTTTTCCTTGTTTTACACATTTGTCTTCGACTAGAATGTTTCACATTGTTTGTAATTTGTAATCTGTAATTTGAATTGCTTTTATTTTCTGATTTATTCACTTTCTTTAACTTTGTACTGTACCATGTTCAGCGCCTTGGGCTTCCTGACAGGGTTGCGGAAGGCGCTTTATAAATAAAGCTTTGATTGATTGATTGATTGATTGATTGATTGATTGATTGATTGATTGAGGTGCCCTGTGCTGTGCCCTCTCTCCTCTGCTGAGTTTCGTCGATGATCCTCGCTTCCTGGGGGTGGACCTGTAACTCGTCATCGGATTCTACTCCTCCTGATTGGTGCTTCGGCTCGTGGGACGTAGACGACCGTTTGTTCCGGCATGACTGCTGGGATGCTTCGCTCGCTGGGACGACCTACCTGCCTGTAAAATTGAGACCTTACAAGACCATATCTTCATCTGTTTAGAAGTGATGGACCTGTGGAGCTGTAAGATGCATTTGTTTTGTGATGAGTGTAAATCTGGCTGTGGTGATGTTTCGCCCTTCAGAGAACAGTCTGGTGTTTACAGGAGAGACGTATTTGTTAGCTCCTGACAGCTGTCCTAATGTAATGTTCAGAGTCAGGACTTATTACGTTATCGGTAATATTAAGAACAAGAACACATCTAGCCTCGCACTAAAGGTGAAATGTGAGAACGTCTTGGTGCCAGGGGCTTCTTTGTGTTTCACCCTGAAATTATTGTATTTCTTACAAATGATACTTCTAAAAAAACACAGAGTACAGCACTAATCATTTTGTCAGTTTGACATCATAAATTGTCAAATCAGAGCCCGTTTCACACGGCTCTGTGTTCATTCTCATTTTATTCAGTGAATAAACAGTTTCTCACATCATTAATTTATTCATTTCACTTGGTTTTTTTTAACAAATCCAAATGGTGTCTTTAATATTTTTACTTTTGGTATTTCTCAAAGACCAAGTTCACTGACAACCAGTTTCTACTTGCTATTTTTAAAAATATGATCAGCCACTTGTGCAGGCTGAATGTGGCTAAATGTGGGCTGCATGGTGGCGCAGTGGTTAGCACTGTTGCCTCGCAGCACGAAGGTCGCCGGTTCAAAACTCGGCTGCTGCCTTTCTGCGTGGAGTTGCGTGTTCTCCCCATGCATGCGGGGGTTTTCACAACACAACACGCCCTATAGGTTATAAACTGTAAGTCGCTTTGGATAAAAGCGTCTGCTAAATAAATAAACACAAACATAAAATGTGAAAATGTTGTCCTACGCCTATTATGTGCCTCAGTCACCAATAGATCAGATCTACATTTTGCTGAAAATGAACATCCATAATAGATTAGAATAGTTAAATAACTAATTTAACATAATTAAAATAGAATTACAAACACCACCAAGGGACTTCTATAATCTCAAACCCCCCAAACTACTGTCTAAAGTATATAAGACACTGTCCAAAATAGACGATAGAATAGCAATCCCTATTGAAAAATGGGAGGTGGATCTATCAGTCAGCTTTGACCAGAACTTCTGGTCCCAAACTTGTTTAAAAACTTTTAAAATGATCAGACACCCCAATTTACAATTAATTCAGTACAAAATTCTACACAGAGTACACTATACAGGTCATCGGATGTTCAAGATGGGGTTTGTGTCGTCTGACACCTGTACACACTGCACACACAACATTCCTGACATTCCTGATTATTAGGTTTTAAAATTTGTAAAAAAAAAAATTGCTAAAAAGATTATGAATATTTTTGGATATTATTTTCTATGAGAAAAGTATGTAAACAAATAAATCTAAAAGAATTCCTGGTAATTTATTATTCTGATGTGAAAAGTCAATTCTGTTATTCCCAGAAAGAACTAAAATAAGCCGCTTAAAACTTCGTTTTTTACTATATGATTCAAACATGAGATGGTTTAGGTTATTGAGAGACATTGTGTCTCAGAACTTTGTATTTTTGCTAAATTCTGTCGTGGACATTCTGTCATTTTAATTTTTATTAAACAATAAATCAGTAAAACAAGCCATGAATATCTATTACAGATAAAAAATAAAACCTATTTTATTATTAAGTTCTGGGTTGTTTGCTCTGCTTTACTGAAAATAAACGCACCGAACTCCACATGGACGCATACGTTTAATAAAATAAAGAGTAACCTTTATTACAGTGTTTGGTTTGACCAAACACCGCATCATGAAGAGAATTACAGTTACTACAATGCATGTTTGACAGCTTGGTAAAGTCTGGTATTTCAGTCCTACATACAGAATAAAATCAGTCTAAACAGATGTGAACTACAAATGTGACGGTCTTGTGGTATTTCACGTGTTTACGAGTCTGTGTTTTACTGTCGTTGTTGGAAAATGTGAAAAACAAAATTTAGATTGTTTTGTGAAACTCTCTGGTGCTGAGTGTGCCGCAAACAAAGCAAAGACACCAACAAATCCCGTCATCGCCTCGTAATTCTGCAGACTGACATGTTTGAATTCCCAGCAAGGGCATCCCAGACTCCCACAGTGTCTAAGTTTGCATGGATGCTCTGATGTCTGCAGCCCTTTGAGCAGCGAGAGACTTCCGCCGCTGCACCGCCATCGCCGTAGCCTCTGGGATGCCATGATAGCTGTCCGTCTCCTGAGAGTCCTCGCTGTTCTGTGACTTGGTGCTGTCCTGAGAGTCTGTCTTCTGCCTCAGGGCCCGACTCTGCTCCTCTTTCAGTTCCACATAAGAGCGAGAGAAAGTGTGGAAGATGGATGTGACAGGAAACGCCATGAGGAGAATGCCGCTCAGGATGCTGCTGAGTGCCACCACCTGGCCCGGGATGCTTCTTGGGACCATGTCGCCGTAGCCAACGGTTGTCATGGAGATGACCGCCCACCAGTAGCTGCCGGGGATGCTTGTAAATTCCTGCTTGGCACCCAGTTCGCTCTCAGCAAGGAACACCAGTGGCGAGAAGAGAGCCATGGCCACGCACAGGAACAGGAGCAGCAGGCCAAACTCGCGTGTGCACCTCCTCACTGTCAGACCGAGCGTCTGCAAACCCAAGGAGTGGCGAGCCAGCCTCATGACATAAAAGATCCGAAGAGCTCGGAGGACTCTGAGAACAAGCCCCACCTTCTCCAGGTACTTGTTCCCTGAGCCTGCAGGTTTCTCTCCAACAGAGAGAGCGTCCACAATGAGAGTGATGTAGTATGGAAGGATGGCCACCACATCAATGACGTTCAGAGGCGTACGCAGAAACATACACTTGCTCTGAGTCTGAATGAAGCGCAAGAGGAACTCCAGGGAGAACCAGGCCACACAGACCGTTTCCAGAACAAAGATGTTCTTGCATCTCTGGGAGCAGTCGCCCTGCAGACGAGAACAAAAGCAGACATTAGGGACCGAGTGGCATGTGCAAAAATGTTTCTAAACGTTTTCTACTTTGATTCTTGAGTTCAATCACAAATATAACAGTAGATCTCTCAATGAATGATGGGAAATCTATCATCTCACAGAACAACGCAGGAAGCTGATGAAAGATGTAAAACTAAACCTTTGAGGTCTAATGACGCAGATTTCCCAGCTACTCTCCTTTTTAGAAGTTGCTAAAACTTTCTCTCAAAAATATTTGAATCTCAAGAGATTTCTTGAACTTAATCTGAAGCTAGTGTGGTTGCTCACACCAGTGAAGCTTTTATTGGTACCTTTGTGTTTAGGAGTGTTGTGTGCTCATGCACAAGTGCAGATGCAAACCTTTTCCTTTGCTTTGGCTCTGTTAGCTTCATGAATTTTTAAGAGCATGCACACGACGTGGTTTTTGGCCCCAAAGATGTCAAACTTGCTAGATCCATTAGGAAAAAGCCGCACAAATGACGAATCAGCAGAGCTGGAGATGGAGCTTCTCAGCTGCAGCAGAAATATGCTGATTAAGTGAAAATGTGAGAGGCATGGTATAGAAAGTTCAGGGACTCTGAGGATCGTTACACTAGTAGAAAATAACAGAATAAACTTTTCTATCAAATTACTCTTAAATTATATTTTTGGACCAAACTGCAGTTATTAAAAGGGAATCTTCACCCCGCCTTCACAGTATAAACCAGGCTTTAGGCTACACTGGTGGCTGTTCATGTAAAAGTGCCAACACTTACATCTCTGAACTTCCAACACTTGTGCTGTAATAGTGGTGTCCACTGATTAGAACTGTGGCAATTCACTATTTAATCCAACAATAGGGATGTGAAATGTTCCAAGTTGATAGTAATTCATATGTTTTCAAGACCGATTCTTTTCATTATAATCAAATGACACAAAAACAGGAAATGGCTTGTTTGTACAGCTCCTTCTTAGGGCTCTACAGCCCCCCAAGGCGCTTCACTACACAATCAGTCATTCACCCATGCACGCACACATTCACACGCTGGTGACGATCAGCTACCATGTCGCCACAGCTGCCCCAGCACGCACTGACGGAAGCAAGACTGCCGAACACTGGCGCCTCCGGGGCTTTAAATGCCTTGCCCATGGACACAACAGCAGCATTCTCTGTTGAGAGTCAGGATCAGTCCTGCACCATTCCCATTACTGAATGACCCGGTTTACCCAGTCACTGTATCCTGATCGATCATGCGCCCTGGCTACATGGCTAAGGGGATGTCCCTTTGACTGACTGGTTAGTGCGCGCGACTCTCACCTGGGAGTCTGGGGATCAAATCCCGCCCGAGCCCTCGTTTCTCTACCTTGTCACGTTAGTAAGACTTGGCTCGTGTTAGTGCTAGCACTAGCTACAGCAGGGTTGTTTATGACAACGTTTATTCCATTTTCAACCAGGACAGAGAAACTGGGAACTGTTGTGACTTCAAGACACATTTTGATGTCAAGTAAGCACTTATTTTAAACAGGCAGCAAAATTTACTTTAGGTTTTGTGTACAAAGACAAATGGACTACAACTGCTCATCTCACCAAATTGTTGTCATCGAACAAAACGAGAAGAAAAATGACAGTGAGTTTAGTGAGCTTTGCAACCTTCCAAGACGAAAGAAGGAGCATTAAACATGGAGAAAGCCTCTACGAGTCTGGCCATGTGTTCAGTAGCAGCTACACTAGGTGATGATGTCATACGTGCAACTTCTGATTTGCAGTCTTTTTAATTCAAAATATTTACAAGCAAGGACACGATGAAGGAAGTATGATTCTTGGCTGGCCAAGGAATGTCTTGGGATCCCCCCAGAGGAGCTAGCCCAAGTGGCTGGGAAGAGGGAAGTCGGGGCCTTTCTGCTCAGGCTGCTGCTCCACGACCCGACCCCTGATAAGACGATGAAAATGGATGGATGGACAGAATTAATACAAGCAAATAAGTCTCAAATTACGTTACAGACGTAGCTCTGCAGGATCACTCATTTTAATCAAATCTGTTCAAGCAGGAAAAAATCTAAAACCGGCAGCTAACTGGCACGTGCAATAGTAGCACAGCCCTGCTTACCACAGGCTAAAACAAGAGTAAGGCTGAACAGCACACTAACCACGCCGTACACAAAAGATTAATTCATTTTCATCTCCCTCCCAGTTAGCTTGAAGTTTACAAAATGACAGCAAGGCAATGCAGGTTGAGGTAGCATTCAAGCTAGGTTGATGTGCTAAGCTGAAAGTCGTCTCCCCTCTACATAGTTTTCACACATTCAACAGCTATACTGCAGCACTTTCTGCAGGGTCTCTTCTTCGCGTGGCCTTTCTTGTAGATTGCATACGTGCTGTGTTTAACACTGCCTCTGGTAGATCTGCCTTACATACTTGAAAACGTAAAGTTATGAAAAACCGAGTTGAAAAACATAGAGGAGTTGAAAGTACAGATAATTGCTTTTAAATGTAGTCGAGTAAAAGTAAAAGGTAGGCCTCACATTTCTTAAAGTGTGAATACAGATAAATTACAGTGTGGTCACAAAGTACTACCCTGCAAACGGTTAAAGTTGCATGGACGTGCAGATCATGCCTATGTCGAGTCTGTCGGTCCAGACCACGTCTGTAGGACGCATTCATCCATGAGAACTGCTCATTGATTCTTCACCATGGGACTGACCTTGACTACTGTCAGCTGAAGATAAGTTACTAAGTACTCAAAACTACTCCACATACTCATACTCCACTTACATGTTGACATTCACTTTAGGAGAATTGGAAATAAAGGACTGTAAATGCTTGCACATATGTGCCTATTTTTAGTCCTGACTGATAACCCGACTATGATGTAAGCACACTTTGATGCACCTTCTCATTGATGCTCGTTTGCCATGCTCCATCTGTACAACAGCATAGGCCTTGTATTTCCTGTGTAAGGTAACACAGGCAGTCGGGTATTTATTCATTTGTTTTATCCTCATCTTTATTCCTCAACCACAATCTTAAAACAGTTTTCATTCAGTAGAAAACCTGACACTGAGCTCTGTTTTTGAGATGATTACAGGTAATGCCTGGGAAAATGAGGACTGGGTGTAGACAGCAGGTGGTACAGAAACACCCAAGAGACAGAATAAAGGAGCAGACTCATGCAATTGATTATAAATGTTCCTTTAAGACAATCTACTGTGTCAAACAGTTTCTCAAAATGACATAAAATAACTATTTAGCTGCCATTTCTCCACTCCCTTCCCTATCGTAGGTCTTTGTTTCCTCAGTATTTTTGTATTTAGGTTCTGTCGCGGTACTTTTTGTCTAAAATATGTCCATCTTCACACATGCGTTTCATGCAGAGACAGTAGAAGAAGCCGGCTGCTGAAGGGCTTCTTCTTCAGTGGTGGAGGCTCAGGCAGGCTGTATATAAACTACTGCCAGCTGCTCCCTCTCTGTTGGACTTTGGTACTGCATGTTACTTCCACGTTTGAGATCTGGGGCTTTTAATAAAACATTCGGGGCTTCAGCTCAAGTAGCCAGGCCTAACGCCGCCCCTGATCCCCATTAGGGTCAAAAAGCCCTGGGGAGTGCACACTTCAGCTAAATAACAAGCACATCAGACTCCCTGTCGTTACTGACAACGAGTCAATAAGAACAAGAATAAGAATACCTTTATTAGTCCCTCAGCGGGGAAATTGCAAGAGGTAAATTTGTAAAACAATAACGTTTGTGAATGGTAAAATTTTGTAACCGTTTGTTACAAATCAGTAAACGCATTTTGTCCTCAAGGGCTCCCGTAGAAGGAAACATGGCATCTAATATGGCATCGCTCAGAGACTTAGACCCACTCCCATGTGTTTTAGACCTGATTTCTATGGTTATATGTTACAAAGCTGCCTTTTTTTTCAACAGCTGGGCATCATTTAATGAATTTTCAACAACATTGTGGTTGACATTTAAAGAAATGAACAGTAGAAAACTACACACTGTCACTTTAATAACACACTGTCCTTGAATCTTTATTTTTTAATATTTATTATAGGAGAACCTGCGAACACCATCATTTCATTTGTTTTTCAGTGTGCTGAAAACACTGCTGTAACTCATCCACACTGAGCTCTGCATTATGCCCACAGTGCTGCTGCTTTGCTGCTTGTCAGCATATATTTGCTATGCTTATTTATGGTGACTGGTCATGAGGCGGGAGCACGCTTAATGCTCAGTATTTTCTATCTTGGGTTGGACCACCACGACAGCCTTTTTATTATTTTACACTTTATATTGTTCTGGACTACTTTTAATAGTACACAGTAAGTAATGGTCTGTACATCTAATTGTGCTAACGTTGATTAGCTTCAATTAGCAACAATGAGAGTTTTGAGCCTTTAAACAGGATTCATGGTCATCAGTGCCTGTGACAAGCCAAATTTCCCATGGGGGGTCATAATTTAGGCTCACCATAACCCGTGACGATACAGACGCTTGGTGCCCATCAAATTCATGCTTTCCCCTCCTCCACCTGTGCACAGATCATTATGACTAGCGGATAACAAACAGGAAATAATTAGAGAACAGGTTAACTCAGGTTTGGGAGTGGTTGCATGGTGGGACAGCTGAGCTGGGTGCACTATTGCCTCACAGAAAAAAGTTGTAGGTTCAAACCTCTGCTGCTGTGCAGACTTACTGCATTGAGTTTGCATGTTCTCACCATGTTTGCTTGGGTTTTCTGTGGGTATTTCTTCCCTCTAACATGCATGTCAAGTATATATTCTTCCATAACTTGTCCCATGGTGTGAGTGAGTGTGTGACTGGCTGTTTCTGCTTGTCCTGGTTATGGACTGCTGACCTAAGTTCAACTTACCCGCCTCTTGTCTGACGACTGCTGGAGAAAGCCACCAGCTACTCACAAATCTACTGAGTAATAAGTTATTAGAAACATGAAGTTAGTGAGGTTTGGGAGAAGGACAACATCTCGACCACACCT